AAGGTCGTCCAAGCATCTATGTCAAATTAACGTCATAGGCCGTTCAAAGCCGGCGTTCGTAAGATAACTTTCGGATACAACGGCAGTTACTTGGTTCTCATTCCATGTTTGCATGGCATGATGACGCAATCGAACAATGACATATTGAGAAGAATGTTTACGTAACAGAAAAATTGTACTGTTTAAAGCAGATTTCTCCCCTTAAAAGGTAACCAATGGTTACAATGAGGTTATCTCATCGTATTTGATGTTTGCTTCAATATCTTCAAATATGGAAGATTTACTTTAGGAGCAAAATTGGGCCGTTGTCCGCACATTACAAACCACTTCTGCCAACGTCCTTTCAAGTTTTATTGTATGACTTATGTCAGAAAGGGGCAAACCAGTTCAGTTTGTGTTGTGTTATCCGTAGCGTAGCTTTTCGCATGTCCACTGGGTGCAGGATGCCCCGCGCCGGCCACTCTTCGCTGCGCAGCGTCGCGTTGTCACGTGGCGAGAGGCGGAACAGAACTCACAATTACGATAACGTCGCGACCAATAGGATCTCGCAACGCGCTCCACACCGCCACCTTTGTGTGAGACGGAGCGGAACGCTGCCTTTCCGCAGATGCAAAATGGAACGTCAATCATCTATATCCGCTCATCGCGGGGGATTACTGCGGAACACACCATTGTCTGGTATCGTGGCTGGATGAGGTTTATCGCCAGTGATTTGTTGATATCAAGGTGCGCGTGATTTTGGTTGTTGTGCTACACAAGAGCTCCGCTGCCCTTCGCACCTCAGTGTGACGCTACGCAACGAAAGGGGGCCACCGTGCCTTGACGCTGGCTAAGTCGGAACACTTCTAACTCCAATTGGAAAATGTGAGGTCACCCCAGGCCACGACATGATTTTCCAAGACCGACCTTTCTTGACCCTGCACTCAGAACTTTATGTATAGTGGTGATTTACTGATACTTCTTAATACATTCAGTCCTTGCTTGGATATATTTCTGCGATCAGAGCTGACGTTAATCAGTGATTACTTGAACCCTGACTCCACGATCCGATCGTGAAATTTCATTTCAACGACACAATTTTGCGGCGAAAGTTGAGCGCTCGGCGCCGCGCGCCCGGCGCTCTAGCGGTACCGAACGTTACGACACGTTATTTGACCCTGAGCGGCCGTCGCCACCGACCGCAGGCCATCCTAGTCAGGGGCTAGCGAGCGCGTGCAGCGACCAAGCTCCTCACCCCGCCGCACATGTGCTGCGAGTCAGGCGCCCCAACCGATGAAGCTACAGGCCGGACTTGATAATTTGGTGACAACATAGCAGGTGGTGGCTGAAAGTCTTATGTGACGCGAAGAAAGCTTCCTCATCCCGATGGCCAAAAGCCATCATGATTCATCGAACGTCCCTGGGGACACACCAGGCAACCCGGAGGACGGGACAGGGCAGGGTCTGCACCCCCGTCCTGTCGCTGACGAGGGCTAGCCATCTGTCATGACGGCAACAACAAACAGACAGATGCACTGCATGTCATAATGTGATAGGGCAAGTCGTCCCCAGCCGACGAGCATTACTTACGCTACAAGTTATGCCAGTCATTTGCTAACTGGCCCACCTATCCATTTCCCAGCCGTGAACGTGAGCATTTTGCAACGCCACCACGGGGAACACTTAACTAACGACCAGGGATTAAAAAGACATCGTCAACCAGCTCGGGCTTTTGCCATCACGCGGATACTCGACTGGTGTGTTTGTGGACATACAGCCGCGTCTGTTTCCATACAAACGTGACCAAGGGCACCCCATCACCGGAACAGGTTTTCCTGCCATTCGCTAAATTTTTAACGCCATAGCTGGCGGTCACCACGTCGGCGACAGCTAATTCACAAAATCTTTCTAATTCTTTATTGAAATCTACAGATATCAGCCGTACCGAAGAGTTCAGGAAGACTTAAATGTCCACTAGCTCCGAAGTGTTGCTTTACAAATCTGCTAATGCCATGTAGACTTGCGCATTGGTCCCGGTTCTATCTCGCCGCATAAGCGATTTAGCTTTACATGAGCAGAAGCAAGGTTCGTGACCGCCAGGACCGACCCGGGGAGACAGAAATCGCAATTACCAGGTAGGTTTCACACCATCGCCGCCACCCACGGTGTCGGACCAGCAGCCGTCCGTCAGCCCACACCATCGCCAGCCATCCAGCCCGCGGGGCCAGCGATCGTCCGTCAGCCCCCACCATCGCCAGCCATCCAGCCCGCGGGGCCAGCGATCATCCGTCAGCCCCCACCGTCGCCAGCCATCCAGCCCGCGGGGCCAGCGATCGTCTGTCAGCCCCCACCATCGCCAGCCATCCAGCCCGCGGGCCAGCGATCGTCCGTCGGCTCCCAACATCGCCGCCACCCAGCCCGTCGGGCCAGCGGCCGTCAGCCGGCCAGCCCGCCTGCTGCCATCACTGCTCGATGGCCTGTGTCGTGCGGCCGGTCGGGGCCAGCATGGCGTGTCCAAGATGGCGAGTTCAAGGTGAGGCGGTGCCGCCCGGCCCGCAACGGCGGCCCCTCCCCCTCCCCCAGGACGGCCAAACAGCGCGCGACCACGCGTCACGAGCATCACACCCTTCTCCCCGCCGACCCGACGCAGTGCGGAGCGTGACCTGGCCGGTCCGCGGCGAAACCAGAGGTCATCGACGGGCTCGTGGTCACTGCCGGCCAAGCAAAACAGCCGAGATGACGGCGAGGGCGGGTCGGGGCGGGGCGGGGCTGAGCTGAGGCGCGAAGCCCGAGTGGAGCCAGCCGTCAACAGCACCAGCCGCCCTGACGCGCGACGGCCGCCAGCCGGGGCCCACGGAGGGGTCGGTCCGCGCGCACGCCCGGCGCCACCACCCCGTTGCCAGCCGCGCTGGTGTGCTCTCTGCAACACGCGAGTGACCGGGCGCCGCGCCGCCGCCCCAGCTGGCACGCGCTGCGCGCCCAGTCTTCGCGCGTGGGTCACGCTTCATGGATGTGACCACTGACGCAAAACAATGGGCTAACCGCCGGGGTCGCAAACATCGGAGGGCGCTGTGCCTGGCAACACGATCTGTCGCGTAACGGACATCTGTTGAGCGCACGGTAGGCGAGGCCGTGCACCTTAACGGCCAGAGGGTCAAGGTGTGTCTATCGTGTCGTCGAGCCAATGTGTTAGTCGGCGAGCTACTTAAAAACCATAATTACATTAATACTACAAAAAGTAGCCCCGCGAACGCATTGATGAATAAGCGTTACGCATCGGAGCGGAATAGCATAAAACCGTGTGCGCATGGTCAATCACAGACGTGCTTCTCACTTTACCGTCTCACATCAGCATGAACAGAGGACGCTGTCCGCTTTGTGCGCGTGGAGCTGAACATAAGTGGTGTTCTCTTCAAGTGGGCTACTGATTCGTGACTGAAGTTGTTGGGGATTTTATTAACCGCAGGTGCAGAAGCTAGGGAAGGCCCGGAACGCTGGTCGAGTTCACGCGGCATTGGAACCTGCGCTGACACCATCCATCTTTAGAAGCAGCGCGCCGGAAACAGGCAGTACCCCGAAGACCGAGCATCTACAGCACAATATCCAGGGTCGCCATTTTTTTAAAAATGACTGGGGAAAGAGTGAGCCGAAGATCCGACGACTTAAGCCTCTCCCCCTCCCCCCAATTTTTTATCGACGGATGTATACCCGCGTGGCACTTTGTTTTGGCGAAAGGCAAGTTACATTGTACATTTTTGTGGCATCTAAAAAAGTATTTGGTTTAAGCAGATGGCAGTCCTGCAGGGATGGACCCGAGGGTGAGGGGGCACTGGCGGCACGTGCCCCTTCTGATATGAAAAATAAAGACGGCCCCCTGGAGACCGCCTTAGGGCGTCGAACGCACACTTCCACGGCGGCCATGGGCGACGGCGCGTATTTTAAGTTGCGGGGCGGAGAGAGGGTTAGGTATGAAGGCCATCTGTCATTCCCGTACTCCTGAGCTTTTCAGCTTAACCCCTCAGACCTTTGCGTCTCTTATGGCCCTAGCTATGTTAAGTTGACTGCATCGACTGTGTACTCAGTTGTTATGTGTTAGCTAGCGGGGTGAGCCAACACAACTTTACGTGACGAGGTAACGGGGTGCAGTAATGTTCGTATGTGCACTGCCCTACACGGTAAACACATCTGTTTTGTTTGTATGGGGCGGTAAACATCCGGCTACACCTACAGATCCGGTTACGGGGTTTCGGGATCAAGCCGTTTGGTCAAATTGCACAATCTGCTCCAATCATATATGTTTCCTCGGATTCAGGTCCCGGAGTCTACCGTGTAAAATGCTGCTCTGTTTACCACGCGCCCGGGTGGCCGGTTGAATACCCTTCACTTGGGTGGGTAGTCAATTGAACACCCTGAGATCTTGAAAACCAAGAGAGCTAGAAATACCAATTTTACAGGGCGGGTTGAACTGTATGTGAGATAACTGGTGTAAAAATTTGAGATTCCTAGGTCATGGGCTTCTGGTCAAACAAAGTCAAAATTTATATTTGTGTCCAAAGTGCAGTCAGATCTCATGTAACCACACTGAGCCTGGAAACCTGTTCTAAGCCAAAATTCACCAGTTTTCACTTAAATTCAGGACCTATTTGTTGGCCTTAATGTCATGGTGACAAAATTGCTAGCAGATTGCTTCCATTTTGGCATTTGACTAAACATCAAGGATTAAGCTAGGCAGCATGTTCCTCAAACAAAATGTTGACCTGGGTCATTTTAGGTCAGTGATGTAGGTCAAGGTAGGCAGTTGAAGCCACATGATCAACAAACTGTGCAACCCCTCTAAAATTAGTCATAATGAGACTAGAAATAAACCACTCGTTCACAGGAATCAACATTCCTAGCCCAGTCGGTATCTGTGTGGGGCCCTGCTGGCTTCCATGCCTTACAGGGCTTCCCATGCCTTCCAGCAAAGATGTTTGGGAACACCAACTTGCTGCAACCCATGCACTTGTGTGTAGTTTGCTTACCTGAATGAGCCATATACGATGAGCAGGATGGAGATGACAAAGGTGGAGACACGAGATGAGTCCACCACAGAGAATGTCCTGTGGATCAGGAGGCTGGTCAGATGAAGCCATGATGCCAGGGCGGGGTGCAGGATGCCGCTGATACAGCATAAATGTGGATTTGATATATGGCCATAGGGCTGAAAAGAGCTGCATGAAAAACCTGAATCTAACATAAAGTGGTTTATCCTCGACATGTTCCTTCCAGTAGGGTTCCAACATGATGCAGTAAGGAGACAACAATTCTTGAAATACAATCAGCAGAAATAAAGACTCACTGGTAATCAGCATCTGCAGCAGGCATGATTGTCAATGTGGCTTGCGTTCACAATAATCACAATTTTCACAGTGGAAGTCTGAGATGACCTCTATCACATCAGTTTCCAAAGGGATATCTCTCTCACTCAACTGCTCCCTGCAACAAAAGACAAGAACATCCTGAACAGCAGTCATTTTCTGCACTAGAAGTTGGCATGACCAGGCAGAAAAATGCACACAGAGCCCATGGTCAGCAACAGAATGTCAAATTATGACAAACTCTCTACAGACACTGATGGTTTTGATAGAACATAAGTGGTAATGCCACTGCACTGTAATCAACTTCTTCTCATCATAGCTGGCTCATAAATAAAGGTGTACTGAAAAGACAGAAAAATAAAATGTTTCTTGTACAGATCTATCAAAAATATATTCCACTTCTTATAAAAATGGTTATTTTTCCAAATGGACCCAAATCTAGGCAGTGCTCCTAAACATTTGTCCCCAGTTCAATTACACCATTCATTCTGTACCTACTGACATGCTAAGGTGCACAAACAACATATGTCATTTTACACCCACACTTGCCTCCATGATTTGAAATGAAGTAATCATCAGACTTGCTAGTGAAAAAGATCAAGTCTTCTGTTAAACAAGAGTGTAAACTGAAAATATATCACCAGAAACTCAGCACCTCAGGACCTAACAACAGACCCTTCAACCTAACAGCTACCTGCCTTTTTGCTACCCCAACACTGATGTCAAATAAAGAAGCATGTTAGTAAGCACCTGCCGATCAAGCCACAAACCTGCCATCAAAGCGCGTCCACGACCGTACGGACGTGAGTATGCGGACAAAAATCTAGGGAATTTGAGAACAGCAAGGGTGTATGCGTTCAAGACCACCCTAGCGAAACCCCTGTCACTTCAACATGTCTGGAATCCCAGCCCAGCAGGCACTCACCTTCCTGCCTAACCTAACGAGACGGGTCCTCCCCCGTACAGACTCGCAGCTAGACTGAGCGCAAGTGAACCACTTTCATTTTCGTTCGCGTACGGGAACGCCCCGCGGCAAACGTGAAGGAAACGATAGGTGGCGAGTACTCTCTCTTGAGAACGCGCTGAACGTCGTCATGTGATGCAAGTAAAGGGAGTAATTGTATTCCAATCACCACCCCCGCGCAACCAACACAAACGTCAACAATCGCGAATGCACGACCGCAACACAGCGCCCTGCAGCGATTGGGTGCGATTAGACGCGGATCGATCGTCGCTTGAGCACAGTGTAGAGCTGTAGGATTCGAGCCCAACTACCCGAGACTCTTCTGGCACGATGCTTTGCTAATACCTTAGCGCACTTGGTTAAATCAGCCATTTGTGGATGCGAAAAACATTCATGAACGATAAATATGCCTACCTCTCAAAAAACGGCATTATATTAAGCCACAGTTCAGTATGTGGTAGTACATGAATCGCTGCCGCTTTCCTGCAGAACAGTTTGGGAAAATAAACGAAGTAACGCAATTGTTCCAGATTTTCTCCTCAGCGCTCAATAGTTATATTCCTCTCTCCCAACATAACACTTATGTGGGATTTCATACATACATTGCAATGACGCATTTGCTCACAGCACAGTTGACACACTTGCTCAAGCATATTGGAACTATCAGCGTACCAAGGGCGAAGCCGATGGACTCGACGTCAGAAAGTATTGTGGCATGAGTGGTTTCCCAGCGCTGAATCTCCAATAATGTTTGGGCGAATTGCGCAACACGTGAGGTTTTGCATGGAATCATCCACCTGCATGGAATAGTAGCCTTGCATGGAACGACATCAGCTTCCCCATACACCTGCCTCGGCATTGTTGCATTAGTCAGCTGTGATAGAGATGGGCAAGGTAAATACACAATTTACGCAAACATGCATCTGTTTGCATTTCCACGCAAGCGGGTACCAACAGCAGGGGCAGGTCCAGAGAAGGAGGGGGGGGGGGGGGGTATCAGGCTATGCTTCCCCTTGGAGCCCGAAGGGGCCATATGCTCCCAAGGGATTCAAAGACTCTGAAGGGGCCGTAGTTGGCCGAACAGACGCAGTTTCTTAACACAAAACGCAGCAAAATTGGACATCTTCGGGCCGTGGCCAACGGGTTGGCCAAAATAATGCTGCATCTGAAAGAAGTACTTATGAAAGCTTAAGGACATCCAAAACGTTTATCTAGAACGTAGTCCGAGCATATATTACACCTGTGCGATTTTAAGATTGATGATGAGAATGGGTTGACCTCCACAGCAACGCGAAGCATTTCGCATTCGCAAGCATTCGAAAGCATTATTTCACAGCGGTCGTCCTCGCGTGCACAGCGCCCGCCACCTGATGTTACTTGCAGTGGCCAACGCCACTTAGTTCTACGGAAACTGCAACCTTGGTTATCGCTGTCTTTGCTCCCAAGATTGCGGGCGCGCAGGCCAAAGCTTTTTGAAACAATTTGTTCAGCTAGTCGATCATGCAAAAGGATGAGCATCTCAGACAAGCATGGGATGACCTCGATCAATTTTGAACTCATCTTGACCAACTCTATTTAACACTAGTGATTTCCTTTACACCGCCCCTACCCGTTACGGGAAAGAGCCCCTTTGATTAGACCACTAGAGAACACATATCTGTTCTTGATCAAGAGCATCACTATTCTTGATCATTCCGTCCCAAGTCTTCCGACTGTCATTCTGGCGACACGGGACGGGATCCCCTGGTATATTTGGAGGCCTCTAGAGGGATACCTTATGTCAAGTTAGTTCCCTCTCTGAAGTGGAAGGCCTCATGATCCGCACAGTTGGCCCCGGATCGACACAAGAACCGTCATCGACGCAACAGGATCCCTGCTTGCCGAATATGGTTCAAAAATTGTCACGTGGACACCAGTTCGGCTTAATGGGTCCATGATGGAGTTTGGTTGGAGATCCCATCGTTCTGTACTCGGAACCTGGCTAGCACACGAATCCTCTCTTTTTCAAGGATTTTATCCCGATATTTTGAATGGATGGATTTCATGACTCAGAACTCACGCTTAGCAGTGCTTATTATGTGAGCACTGGCCCCTACTATGCGATCGCACAATTTCAGTCTAACGGCAGAATTTGGTGGTGAAAGCTTAACATGCCGTCTATTGCTCGGTTCGATCTGCCCTGCCCTTTGACGTCACCTGACCTGAAGCGCGGCCGCTGCCACCTGCCACAGACCATATCTGTCAAAGGCAAATACTAAACAAGTGAGCGCCTTAAGCGGATCGAACCCACCTCCCCACGGCCACAGACGGATGGATCGAAAGACAGGCACTCTAACCAGCTTAGCCAATGGACAAACCATTGTCTCAACGTGAACACTCGTCATAATTTCTCATGCTTCCTTTCACTATCTGAGGGCCCAAGCCAAGGCAAGAGGCTCTCTGGCGACCGTGGTGCCGTCTCTTCTGCTCGTTGCAGCTAGTGGCATCTATGCATTCTATGCGGGTATTGCACTCTTTCACCAATAGGTGGCAGCAGTTCCGCACGCCTCATTTTCGTGTGGTGAAATTCCTCAATTGTATTGCTATGTTCAGGGAGCCCATTTTCCTCTGATATCTCAATCTGCTGCAAAGATCTCACTACTTCAGAGCTCGAGTTATGCTCATTTTAAAGTACAAGCGGGTGTGTGAAGGAAATCCCAACGATATGACCGATCCAAATATAGATTCATGAAACTAACAACAAAATTTTCAATTTTCCTCAGATTTAACTAATCTAAGTTTTGCATTCAGATAAAAATGGCAAAAGCATGCAGTGAATTAGCTGCAGTATGCAAGTGCATTGTATGACGGGCCTAAATCGAGCCTAAGCCGGGCTGGAACAGCTATGAGTTTGGGATGTATCTAACTAAATGTGGGATAATTTGTGCAAATGCGGGACCGCTCCCATTCAGGTAATATCTTAAAAAGAGTACTAACTTAATAATGCTAAGTTTGGATTGGAATGACTGTTTTTCGACGTTGCTCATTTTGTCAACTTGACAGCGGTGCCATCTGCAAGGAAAAAGGAAATATAAAAATGCACTGGAAGAGTTCTTTGTCTCATGGGTGTAGGAAGGGATGGGTCAGGGGACAGTGGCCCGCTCCTACTTTTCAAGGTGGGGGGGGGGGGGCAGCAATGTTAACTGCCCTGTCACTTTTTAAGGTTTAAGTTGCGCTTAGCTTACTTTTGCACTGTCATAAATATGCATGTCGATTTACCTAGTTCACCAGCTATCTTCCTAAAGATGAGGCATTTCTTCGTTTGTCCATTGGCCATCACTTGGTGTCACAGCCGCGGGACCAACGCCGCGCGGTCTATAGAGACTGCAACGCCGGGTGTCGAGGCTGTTGTGGAAATTTGCGAGCGCGCATGTTCAGACTCATGTTACATGACTTTTCTCAGTAATTAGTCCTGACTGAATGCAAAACATCTTAAGACGAACATGGGTCAGTCAGGTCAGTACAAGTTTGGGATCCCATTTTGATCCACCATCTACGCTCAGGAGCTCCCCATATCTCTAAAGAACAGAGAAGATATGGCTACGTGCCAATTATTGGACCTCTGCGGCGATCAGGGAAGTTCTTGCGTCAAGCAAGGTTCTCCTACGTTAATCCGGGGCCAACTGCGCATATCAGAAGGCCTCTCACGTCAGGGAGGAGAATAAGGTGGTTTGATGCATCCCTCTAAAGGCCTCCAGATCAACTGCGCAGATCGGAAGACTTCTCACGTCAGGGAGGAGAATAAGGTGGCTTGATGTGTTCCTCTAAAGGCCTCCCGATCGATCAGGGGATCCCGTCCCACGTCGCCAGAATGGCAGCCGGAAGACACCTTGCGATGGGACGGAATGACCCTTCAGCTCTTGACCGGGAGCAATAATGTGCCCCTAGTGTATTACTCAAGTGGCCCCTTGCCCGGAAGGAAACAAGGAACCTCCTTATTGTTGAATAGACTGGGTTAAAATGAGTTAAAAACGAGCAAGGCCGTCCATGTTGGCCTGAGAACTCACATTCTTTTGTAGAATCTTTTGAAGAATGTGCATCACTAATTGGGTGAAGTGATCAAAGGCAGTTTTTTCAGAAGCATCATCATTTGTTTTGAATCGTTAGCCAGAGACTTAAGTATAACTTACTAAGTACAAGTATTAGACTTAAGTATAACAGTGACCCTTGGCCACCCGACCAGTGTGTTGCCTAGACATTGATACCAGCGTGCTGCCCAGATATTGATACCAGTGTGCTGCCCAGATATTGATACCAGTATGCTGCCCAGATATCGATGCCAGTGTGCTGTCCATTGGGTCTTATTTGAGATAATGCGAGGGGTGTCCGGACGAAAAGTTGACTCGCAGTTACCCGCAAGAGCACTCGCAAAACGAATGCTTTCTGTCTACTGCTGTATGATGGCTTTCATAAGGGGGAAATTTAAAAATGACGTGCTAATGAGTCGAATCAGCTGAAGGGCGAACTCCAAAACGGACACATGGAAGAATGACGACATGCCAACATGACTAACTGCTAAATGGCGAATTGCAAAAAGCCGACACACAAAATAGTCGACGTGCCGAAATGGCGAGCGGCTAAATTACTGCAAAAATGGCGATATGTAACAAGGCGGACATACCAAATCGGCGAACAGCTAAATTATGACCTGTTTAATGATCATGTTTGAATAAATACTGACATGGGAACATGACGACGCGACAAATGACCATAAGATGAATGTCAACATTAAAGACACCTTAAGCCCAAATGGAAGGGGCATCAGTTTCATGTTTTACGTCGCGACGTGAAGTGCGGAAGTCCTGTTCGATCTTTTATGACAGCTATGCCCAGTATAACGCTGCCGTCAAATGTCTCCCGTTTTTTCCTTCTGCGGGAACACAGTATGCAAAGGCACAGAGACATGCAAACGAGATATGCGTTAAATACCAGAATCGTGGAAGTGGATTATAATATCGGTTATTCTGATATTGGTTATGCGAGAACAATAAATTGGAACCCAATCCAATATAAAGTTGAAGATATGAAAGAGCTCACGGCGATTGTTACGTACGGGGAAATTTGCGTGTTTTGCAGTACTAAGTCACAACAGCTTCAAATGTGAACTGTTTCAAATTCCACGATTTCGTCGGCGTAAGAACCCACGCAAAACCACTATGGATCAGCTGTAGTCGTATGTCG